TTATTTTTAAAGTAATAAAAGAAGAATATAAATTATGTAAATGATTATAAATATTTACTAGTATGAGCATTTCAAAACAAGACACACACTCTTTCTATACATCTACACCTCTATATATTTAACTAGTATATATTGTAGATTATGTAACAATTAACAGTTTTATTATGTGCTTTCCCAAGAATACAGATCTATAAAATTTTGGAGATTCATAAATATCAGTAGGTTTTCCTAGAACTTATCCAAATTTCCTCCCAAAGCAATAAACTCTATGGTGCATAATGTTACTAATGATATAGACTATTTCTCCAAAAGTAATCCTGGAAGAGGAGAAGTGACACAAAGGAATAGCTAGAATGTCCAGCTGTTGAGAAGTAGGCAACATTCCATATTAGAAACTAGGAGAGGTTAAAGGAAGTTCATTCTTCAACTTTGAACACCCATACCATCTCTCTTTTTCAAAATAAAATAGCCATGATTCAAGAGTTTTGTTTTGAGCATGAAGAAAACATGTTTATCCAATACTTGCAATAAAATTGTATTTATCAGCGCTCCTGGGTAAACCAGACAGAAAACATAACTAGTTGAGCTAAATCTTATGATTTATGATAAATATATTTTATTATAATGATTTATCACTTGTACACTGAGACCTTATGTACCAGAGACAAATTCCTTGTGTGTCCAATCATACTTGGCCAATAAATAATTCTATTCTGTTCTGTTCTAATCTATTCACTTTACTCTAAGGCTAATTTAATAGAATCTTGCAAGTATGAAGGTACAAACCTCCTACTGCCACTTTTAATCACTTGACCCATTAAGATGAGTCCTTCCTAAATCTCTTTCTCTGACCATTAAGGCACTTGGGCCTCCTTTATTTTTTATCTGATCATTCCCTAAGCAGCCTCTCTTTCCTTCACCTCCAAGGTCATCCAAACATTCCTTTTCAGTATTATACTAAATGTTTTTTTTTAATATTTCAATGATTCAATTGTAAGGTTGCCTTAATATACTTAGCCAAGTTCTTGCTCATATTAACTTATGCTGGGTAGTTTAATTCTATGGATAGAGTTCCAGGGGTAAAGCAGCATATTAGAATCACTGAAGAGCTACTCTGAACCTGTCTATTGAGAGTTAGACACCAAAAGTGTATCTGTACTTCTCATGTAAGGTGCTTAAGGCAACTTAAATGCACCTGGACTGAAAGATTTTGGCAATAGGTTGCAACATATTAAATCTGGAATTTGGGCTATCATATTCCCCAGCTAGACAATTTTCCCTGATGCTGTGCTCTCACACTTATCTGTCTCAAGAAAATTGTGGACAATTGTTTTACTTCCTCTGGTTGGGCCTTCCCAGAAAGGTATTTTTAGATGTTTATAGTACACACATGCCCCCGCACACACCCCCATAATGTTCAATTTATATTGCAAAATTAAAGTATCAAAACATAGACATGCAGGCATATTCAATAACAATCTGTAAAATAAATGTCCTTTCTTAGCAGTGCTTTTGAGGTAAAAATTATTTGGCATTAGTGTTAAAATAGCACAGTGATCAAGAATTATACCTAGCATTTAAGAGTCTGCTGATTCAAAGCAGATTAGTGGAACCTTTTTTTCTAATTACTATTTTCTTTCTTTCAACTCCTTAGCTTTCCCTAGCTAGCTGAGAGCTTTTTTTAGAAAATAAAAGTAAGTGCAGGATTCCAGCATTTCATTATTTCCCCAGTCCCTGAAAAGAAAAGAATTTCACGCAGCTTGAAACCCTTTTACCTCAATGATTGGAAAAAGGATAAACTGCTGGAATTCTTCACTTAAAAAAAAATATTACATATCTAAATAAGGAAAGATATCAAACTGAAAGAAAGAAAATAGCTACTTCAAAATATATATCTACTTCAAAAAAATTCTGCTGGGTTTTCCACTAGACAAAATTAACCTATTTTAATTTAATTATTAAAGTTTAACATTAATTATTAAATTTTATATCATTATTTAAAGAGCCTTATTCTTTATGCTATATTCTTTATTATATTACGAATATAATTGTTCAAATTATTAAATTAGAATACTAATTGCTGTTACTCAACTTATGACCAGAACTGAGCTCAACATTTCTGTTGCTAAGTGAAACATTCGTTAAGTGAATTTTGCCCCATTTTACGATCTTTCTTGCCACAGTTCTTAGATGAATCATTGCGGTTGTTAAGTTAGTAACCTGGTTGTTAAATGAATCTGGCTTCCCCATTGACTTTGCTTGTCAGAAGATCTCAAAAGGGGATCACATGACCTGGGACACAGCAACGGTCATAAGTATGAGCCAGCTGCCAACCATCTTAATTTTTATCGCATGATCATGGGGATGCTTCCAAGGTTGTAATTGTGAAATATGGTCATAAGTCACTTTTTTCAGTGCTGTTGTAACTTTGAATGGTCACTAAAAGAACTGTTATAAGTCAAGGACTACTTGTAAAGCATTCTAGCTGAACTGACAAAAGTCCTCAAAGATGACATAAGAGGAAAAGACGTGTTGTTGTCCTGTTCTGAGGATAAGACAACTAGGCACGGGAAATAAATCTCAAGAAAGGTGTATAAAACACTGAAAGATTCTTTTTTAAAAAAACAATTATCCCCTTGTTCAATATTGAATAACCCAAATTAACAAGGCTGAGGTGCAAGAGCATGCACAGAGTTCAAAATAGTCAACTTATTGACTCTGCATATATTTTTTAATGTATGCTGAAAATTCAGGGTCAACAAAGCAAATGCATACAGGCCATGGAAACAAGGCCGAGTATGGGAAAAGAGATTGAATATTGGGTCAGAGAATGATTTTGGCCACAGATCAAGTACAACCAATGCACTGTATCCTAACCTGAAATACGACTGAAATGGGTCCAACTAATCTGTTTATCAGGAATAAAGCCAACCAATCCCAGTAATAGATCTATAGTTTATTAGAGATGTGATATTAAGAGCAAAGATATGCAATTCTCTGTATGTGTTATCTTTTGTAATTTAAAAAGGGGTGTAAATAAACAGCATGTTTAGAGTCAAATCACTTCTCCCTCTAGTCAAAATAAAAGCCCATTTTCTCTAAGGTTTTACAGTAGTTTTATTATACTTTCAATCATTGAAATAACTACACTCAAGGTTTTGACTATATTTCTTAAAACACTTATGGTAAAATTCTACTTAATGTCGATCAATCACTTTGCTAATGGCTCCAAAATATGTGAATTAGAGATAGGTCCCTATCTGATATTAAGCTCTTAATTCTTTCCTCTCTCAACAGTTTCAATAAAGGATTTTTTAAAAGATTGCTGAGGGAAGAAAAAAGCATTGTTATTTTCATATACGGTATATGTGCTGGAAAATATCTTATGGGAAGCCTATTTATATTTTTGTCCCATGGACTTTTTACAGACTATGAAACTGATAAAACCAATGTCAGACAAATCCTTATTCTGTTGAAATTAAGAATATGCTTTTGCTTAAAAAATAATGATTATAATGAAATTATGGAAGAGAATTTAGAATCACTAGTAAATTATATGAAGGGAAATTTAAGGTCAAACCACCTGTAATTACATAACATTTTATTTGTTTTTTTAGTCTGCCTTTATTTTTTTTTATAAATAACTTTAAGGCAGCAAACATATCTAATACTACTTCCTCCTATAAGGGATGGAACGGAACAGAACAGAATGGAACAGAACAGTACAGAATAGAATAGAAAACACTGCAAGCTTTGGGTCTCTTCTGTTAAAAAGGGCCATCTTGTTGGCCCCAGAAGGTCAGTTATCTCCATGGAGCCCTACCCCATGGAGCCCTACCCCATGGAGCCTTACTTTGGGCCTCTTTTATTAAGGAGTGCCATCTTTTAGGATTCAGGAAATAAGTCTTCTCTATGAAGCTCCTGTGGTACAGCATATCCTCCACCATCCGTCCTGAAATTTAGTTGATCCTGACCTGTTGGTCTTTTGCAAGACATTAAATCTGTCTTTTCCCTTGAGCCTTGGGGATGGCAATTAAGTGAGCCTTGTTGCTGCCCATCTGTTCTTAAAACCAAAGGACTTTATTTGGAGCTCTGGCACAGTCTATTTTGATTATCACTGTAATTGCTTGGACTTGTTTTGTTTTATTAGCTGCCAAGGGTAGCTATAGCAAAATACTGTAGAGAGCCATATAATGCTTCAATATTTTTAGATGTATAAATTGTTTAAAAAAAACAAATGAAATACATACACACACATACACAGACATTCTTAAATATAAGAAGGTTAGGGGTGAGATGAACAAAATTAACTTTTTAAACAGCTCTTTTATACATAATAATGAGAAAAAGTTTTGATTGTGGAAGAAAATAAACAATAGTAGCAGAAAAATCCAAAAACACTTGTAAGTAACTTCAGTTCAGAGTTCACTGTTCCCTGAGGCAAATCTCTATTAAGTGACACTACTAATATCAATTTGTATAATGTATGAAACATCCCTGTCTGACCTTGGGACATTTCTGCCTGCTAATTTGGAAAGAATACAAAATGCTATTATGGACAACTCTATGAAAAAGCATTTGCTGTTTTTTGTATTTCCTGAATCAAAAATTCATACTCTTGTCACTGAATATTACCAGAACTTCATGTGTATCCTTCTGATATATAAAGAGAGATTTCATGAACAAATAACACAAAAATTGGAGGGCTGTTCCATTTACTTCATGAACAAAATCATCCAATATGTAATGTGTCAGTGTTGAGACTCATTTGCATACATGCACATATTTAAACATTGCAACTGAAGGGATAACTGGACTGGTTGTATGAGTATTCCCTTAAACAATCAGCCAGCCCTGACTTATAAAAATCTCATTAACTTAGCTCCATTCAACTGCAATGCTCATGACATGGATTTTAGAAGCACATCAAAGCCAGCTAAAAATAATTTTTTGAAGACTTCTGAAAAAAAAAATATAATTCAATCTGGAAAGTTACAAACCCATTTCTAAAGGTCTGGGATTACACCAATCTACAATCAGAGACATAATGTTGAAATGGGAGAGATTGGGGCAATAAATCTTTCCTGGAATGACATCTTGCCAAAACAACTCCAAGAGCATGACAGCAGGTTTCTTTTATTTTTCTAAATAAAATTAGACCTTACTTCAAAAGTACATCAAATCATCCAAAAACTTGTGCGAAACATTAGAACAACATCCAGGGATCTTCAAACCTGCCTTGCTTTCGCTGAAGTCAGAGCTCAAATTTCCATCAACAGAAAAGTACTGGATAAAAATAAAACTAATAGGGAGGAACAAAAGAGAAGCCATTACTCACTGAGAAGAACATTGATGCCAAAAGCGTCTAGATAATTTTCCACACTTGGTGCATCAAAACCTAGAGAACTGCTTTCATTGAAAGAGGCATGAATTCTACTGTTTAGCAGAAGAATATCAGCTTATTTATCTGCAAACTGAAGCTGAAATGCCAAAATGCAAGCAGCTCATACTGCAAGACAGTGACCCCAATCATATAAGCAAACATACAAGAGAATTGATGGATAAAAACAAATTCTGTGTTTCGGAATGGCCAAGTCAAAATAATTGTCATGGAAGGGTCTGAAAGGAGCATTTCGTGTTAAAAAAAAAGCCCTCAAAAGTTACTAAGTTTAGGCAAGGAGAAATTGGCCAACATTCCTACACAGCAGTTGGTTGAAGATATGATAATACTACTTTTTCATAATAAAATTGCACATTAAATGATATTGTTGAGGAAATAAATGAAACAAACTCTAAATGTTGGTGATATTTCCTCACATGTAGCTCTGATAACATTCAGCAGCAATGTCCTAAAGGTGCTTTTTCAGGAGACAACTGGACTTTCTTGTTTTTTCTTTTGAAGATGTTTTGCTTCTCATCCAAGAAGTTTCCTTTAGCTCTGACTGAAGGATAGTGGGGAATGGAAGGATTTATATTCCTTGCAGACCGCTGGTAATCTGCATAAGACCCCCAAGTGCTTCAACAACCCTGTAAAAGGATGCAGATTACCAGCGGTCTGCGAGGAATATAAATCCTTCCATTCTCCACTATCCTGCCAGAGCTGAAAAAGCTTATTGAATGAAAAGCAAAATGTCTTCAAAAGAAAAAATAAGAAAGTCCAGTTGCCTCCTGAAAAAGCATCTTTGGGGCAACCATGACCTGGATGACTGACAATCTCGACAGACATTCAGTAGTAATATGTAAAATTTTAGAAATCCAAATGAGAATGAGTACTCCATCAATGAAAATGTGCAATTTTCAAAGCAAGGAAACAAGAAACATTCTGAGTTGACTCAGAAAAATTTGAAGCATTAGCTGAGAAGCTCTTTTTACCATCTGTGTGACTAATTCAAAAAGGAAATTCATTAAGTATAAGGAATGTTGATTCTAATATGACTTGACATTTGATCCACTTTCCATGTTTTTAATCTCATGCAAAAAGCAAAGAATAATGAACATAAATTTTCTAGTATCTGCATGAGAGTTTCTTTAGATTGAAAATTGGTTCACTGTCTCCTCTGTAATATTTTAAATATTATTCCCGTCTCCTTTGCAACTTACAATTTTATTGCCCTTTGTTTACATTGGCATGAGCTGTAATTTTTATTGATTTCTATCATGTTGATAGTAATTATGTTGGTTTCTTGAATTAATTTATTTGGGTTATGAACACTGCCTGGAAATGAAGAAACATAGGAACTATGCATTCAAATTAAGTATCCAAATTGAAGGTTTGTCTAGTAACATCACAAGCTGTTTGTAGCCTCAGTATCTGTTCCCCAAAATACCTTTGGGAAACCTAGTTTTGATTCAAGTCCCCACAAATTTTATACATCAAAATTCTCAAGTATAAAGCTAGACTTGTTGGATTTAGTAACCTTTATTATCAATAATCAGTACAGTATTAATCTTAAAATAATATGAGGAACTACAGCAATTGAGGTGCCAAAGAATTGAGGCCTTTGAACTATGGTGCTGGAGAAGAACTTGGACTGCAAGGCGATCAAACTGGTCAGTCCTAAAGGAGATAAACTCTGACTATTCTTCAGAAGGCCAGATCCTGAAGATGAAACTCAAATACTTTGGCCACCTAATGAGAAGGAAGGACTCACTGGAGAAGAGCCTAATGCTGGGAACGATTGAGGGCAATAGAAGAAGAGGACAGCAAAGTATGAGGATGGAGTCACTGAAGCAGTTGGTGTGAGCATAAATGGATTCTGGGGAATGGTAGAGGACAGGAAGGCATGGAGGAATATTGTCCATGGGGTTGTGATGGGTCGGACATGACTTTGCGACTAACAACAACAACAAAACAATTTTTATCTGAGCAATGAAAGATAGCAATTCAAGAGCACTTAGACTTATATACTGCTTCACAGTGCTTTACAGCCCTCTCTAAGCAGTTTTACAGAGTCAGCCTATTGCGCCCAACAATCTGGGTCCTCATTTTATCCACCTCGGAAGGATGGAAGGCTGAGTCAACCTTGAGCCTGGTGAGATTTGAACTACCAAATTGCAGGAAGCCAGCAGCCAGCAGAAGTAGCCTGCAGTACTGCATTCTAACCTCTGTACCACTGCAGTTCATAGTACAAAGATTTACTCTTATTTAACAGATCACTAAAAGTTAAAATATGAAAAATATCTATCAAGAGAAATCCCAGTTTGGATACGGTACAAGCCAGAAGTGCTATTCAGCAGGTTCTGACCAGATCCAGAGGACCGGTAGCAGAAATTTTGAGTAGTTTGGAGAACCGGCAAATCTCCTCTGACTGGAGATTTTACAGTATCCTTCCCCTGCCACACCCACCAAGCCACGCCCACAGAACCAGTAGTAAAAAAATATGAATCCCACCACTGGTACAAGCCTATATATAGAAGCCTAAGCCAAAAATGGTTTCAAAGTTGAATTAAATGGTATGCTGGATTTACTTTAGAAATACAAGTTAATTTCAACTAGTGGGGCATACTTTCACAATTTAATTAGCCATTCATCTGCAGAAGGAATTTACATACTTTCCAATAAAAAGTGAAAGGAGCAGTTGTCATGTATACACTGCTCAAAAAAATAGAGGGAACACTTAAACAACACAATGTAACTCCAAGTCAATCACACTTCTGTGAAATCAAACTGTCCACTTAGGTAGCAACACTGATTGACAATCAATTGCACATGCTGTTGTGCAAATGGAATAGACAACAGGTGGAAAGCATAGGCAGTTAGCAAGACATCCTCAATAAAGGAGTGGTTCTGCAGGTGGTGACCACAGACCACTTCTCAGTTCCTATGCTTTCTGGCTGATGGTTTGGTCACTTTTGAATGCTGGCAGTGCTTTCACTCTAATGGTAACATGAGACGGAGTCTGCAACCCACACAAGTGGCTCAGGTAGTGCAGCTCATCCAGGATGGCACATCAATGCGAGCTGAGGCAAGAAGGTTTGCTGTGTGTGTCAGCGTAGTGTCCAGAGCATGGAGGCACTACCAGGAGACAGGCCTGTACATCAGGAGACATGGAGGAGGCCATAGGAGGGCAACAACCTAGCATCAGGACCACTATCTCCGCCTTTGTGCAAGGAGGGACAGGAGGAGCACTGCCAGAGCCCTGCAAAATGACCTCCACCGGGCCACAAAAGTGCATGTGGCTGCTCAAACGGTCAGAAGCAGACTCCTTGAGGGTGATATGAGGGCCCGACGTCCACAGGTGGGGGTTGTATTTACAGCCCAACACCATGCAGGACGTTTGGCATTTGCCAGAGAACACCAATATTGGCAAATTCGCCACTGGCGCCCTATGCTCTTCACAGATGAAAGCAGGTTCACACTGAGCATGTGACAGATGTGACAGGGTCTGGAGATTCCATGGAGAATGTTCTGCTGCCTGCAACATCCTGTCTTATTTTTGTGTTCCCTTTATTTTTTTGAGCAGTGTATATACTTAGACTACCCATATTGACAGGCTGCGCACATTTCCTCCATCAGATCCCAGCTAGGTTCATCCTCTTACTTTCAGTATATATATTGTTTTGTTTTGTTTTTGTTTTTATTTTCCCAAATTTTGTTCTATTGTACTTTACTAATTTATTTGATTCTTTTTATTAGTTTTTATTGTTTTTTATTTTTATTTTTTGTTTTAAATATGGTTTTACATTGTGTAAGCTGCCTCAAGTCGCCATGGGTGAATAAGCAGCAATATAAATAAAATAAATAAAATAAATACATATATATATTGTAGGATTTACCTATGATACAAACCTCCCACAATCAAAGCTTCAAATCACAAAATAAGCTTGTATTTTCATGGTCCATGCAATGGCTGCAAAGTCACAACTGATTTAATAATGAGACAGTGGGTAAGATTCTTCTATCTCCTTCAATGATTCCTTTGTATGGTATGCAATTGTGCCTTACACAAAAGTAAATGAAATGCTACTAGAGAGGTTAAAACTTGCAAAGGATTGCTTCCTTCTTGTCCTTTTCTTTTGTTCTCTTGGAATGCTGTTATACTTTCAGGAATCTGTGTACAAGTAGTCTCACATATGACCATTGAGGGAAGTGGGTCATTAAGCATGACATTATGTGACCGTTTTGCTCAATGACCGCAATCCTGGCATTGCCTGTTGTAGTCATTAAGCAATTTTATAGATTGTTAAGTGAATGAAGGGGTGCCTCAGGAGGGTAGAAGATTTGAGGGCAGTGCTGCAGTAATTTTGAATGCTTTTTTTTCAGAATTTGACCATGCTTGAACATGCAAAGTTTTCAAGACTACAAATTTTGTAATGAGATAATCCTTCAAAATTAAAACTATGAAAATGTGTATAGCCTACTCTATACATAACTTACCAAATGTTGCACTCCAGAAAGAATAATTGTTAATCAAATAAAAAGGCAAAAATGGACGAACAAATTGGTTTCTGATAAAGGTATGCACAATTGTTTTACTTTTAATGACAGAAAATGGGAAAAAATAATCATGAAATAGATTTCAATGTCAAATTGAGATATCCGAATTGAAATGCCTTTAAACTTATCATGGATATATATCTTTAATCTGACATACCTTTATAATTAAGTCTCTGCAGCTAATTTATTCTCATTTATCTATAATTCATATAGAATAACATGTAAAGGTTCAGCCAAACCACTAATTTTATCTTTTCCAAAGCTTCCTTTTGAAAACATGGGCAATCAATCCATTTGATCAATTTATAAATTTTTCAATTAGCATGGGACAATAATGATCTATCAGTCTAATCAATCAAAAATCCAATCATTCTGAGAACTGGAATGGAAAAGGATCCAGCTTACATCCTGGACATGTATAAAGAAGCTTTTACCCAAGTAGATCTCTCTCTCTCTATGCATCTGAAGTCACAGCAGTATTGCTTAGCCCAGAGATCTCCAAACTTGGCAACTTTAAAAGACTTGTGGACTTCAACTCCCAGAATTCTCCAGCCAACTATGCTTCCACAAGCTATGCCAGCTGAAGCATTCTGGGAGTTGAAGTCCACAAGTCTTAAAGTTGCCAAGTTTGGGGATCCCTGGTTTAGCCTAAGCTTCCCTTTCACTGCTGTAAGTGTAACAGAATACAGCAATCTAGAAGACTGTTCTTCCTCATTGCACCAGAATGCCATATATCCTCTGCCTGTTCCATATGATAGTCCTTCAAGGCGTCCCTTCCAAATTCTAAGTAGTTTCAACCCAGTTAGCTTTCAAGCCTCAAGAATTTTGTCTAAATACTGTCCCATGTTGATATTTAAAACCACACACTGCTTTTTTTAGCCTTTTAAAAATGAATAGGTGGCCTAGAATGCCGATAAGCAAATGCTTCAGAGGAAGAAAAGACAAATTGATAGCATGTATAAAAATTAGTTAGGTTATATAAATGCTGAATAATGCATCCACAATAAAGTAGTCAAACCAAGGAGCGTGCTCCTCTTAGAAGGATTGGATTAATCTAATAAATGGTAACAAATGGTGATATTGAATAGTAAGTCCCTAAACTTCCATTTCTTCTTTCAAAGCAGGTATTTTAAGAACAATCTTCCCTGGGCATCATACCTGAAGAGATATTTTGACTAGGTGCTATTCTCTAGATGGTCAGATATAATGATATTGCCTTATTAAAAGTTAAAATTTAAATGCCTCTGGCTTTTAAGTAAAATATAGATCCTTGGTGGCTTTTTGTTCTTTCTGTTCTTTCAATTCAAGATATGACTTAAACATCATATAAGCATATGAATCCTATGAGCAGGATTCTTCTTGATTTATTGCTACATTGTAAATTATAGCTATTTAAGTTTCAAGGTGAACTATTGTGCAATTCTACAGCACCCTAAAGCATTTCTTAATGTTACAAACAAGGTAACATTTTCTTAATTTAAAACCATAAAAATGATTTATAAGGAACGCAAGGAATGAAATTGACAGCTGTTTTTTTCATTCCAAACATTACATTCCTCCAAGAGGTTCAGGGCCATACGCAGGGTACTTTCCCCTATTTATAACAACCCTATAAAAATGGCTTGACTAATACTTACCCCAAATTACCATACGTGAATACAAAATATTTGGTGGAATAATGACATATTGAAACTATGAAGATAAGAGAAAATATTCTATAAAGAATATAGAGTCAGAGCAACGTGGCACTGTGGTGGCACTGTGGTGACAAGGGCTTCGGGCAGCACTCATTAGCAGTGGCACTGGGGCTGAAATTGAGGCTCAGAGGTGGTGGCAGCTGGCAGAGATTGCTGAAGGCCCCAGGCCTCTATTTCAGCCCCAATGCCACCAGTGTCCTGTTTCAGGCTTCAAACACCTACACGTGCAAACACATAGGTGCACTCCGTGAGAACAGCACTTTACTTAAGGCCGAGCGAATAATGACAGACAAGGGAAGGAATGTAAATCAACAGTCTCCTGGAATGAAAGCTTGCCTGGGTGATTTCACTTTCAACAGGACAGAAGTCAAGAGAAGTCAAAATCCAGGCCAAAACCAGAGACCCTAGTCAGATCTATGAGCCAATCCAAGGTTAGAGTTTCATGAGCTGGTTTTACAGGAATGACACATTGGAGAAGAACACAAGGTTGTTTCCAGTGGAGAAACATGGGTCAGATCAGGCAG